GTCGCATTCGCATCCCCAACTTTTTTTGGGCTCCATTACACCGCGCCTCATACACCGCCAATGCACTTCTACCCAAGAACGGCCGCCACCGGCAACTGACCCCGACTCCCAAACCACTATATCATACATGGAATTGTATTCCGATCACTGGCCGCTTCGTACCGACAGCTCCTTTCTATATCCGAGATCAAAAACAACTCTTTTAGCTGCACCACGCACGCTCGCCCGCAGCATACACGGCATTTCAACCACGACTCCAAGTAGGGTCACCGAAATGCATCTACCGCAGAACGAAATCAATCCGACATCATTGCTCCTTACCACGACGCTTGGTTTACTCGTGGACACGACTTCTCGAGGGTTCTTCAAGCCAGACTCTAACCAGGAAGGTCATTATGCTCAACCCAGCAATCTGAACACTGCGAACGAGTTTATGCTTATTACCGCCGCCCTCCTGCGCGACCTGAGCCAAATGTGTTCCCCTCCATCCTGCCTGAACGCTCTTCCTGAAAGGAAAGATGAAGCAAGATAAGCGCAAAGGCTGTTCTTCGACCTCACGACAAAGCGTCCAGGCGGACTCGACTCCCCCTGACGCCGCTTGTCTCTTTTCGCGTGCTGCCAGGACAGATTCTTCAACCATCTGCTCAAGTCCCAACACGCCTTCCCCGCTCCCTCGTTCAAAAGGACAAACAGCATTAACACGGGCCAATCATACCACCGAACTTGCGCGGCACCCGCTCGTCCATCCCCTGATCGCCCTTGTAATGCGCCCAGGGCATTTCTGCCTCGATCGCAAGTCATGCAATCGTAATCCAGGAGCGCAGACTCCCTCTACCCGCAAACTCTAGTCGACATTTCCTGAAATGTTTGAACCTCAACCCCTCCGCAAAAAATTTGCGGCCCGCCCCAGTCTGCTACTCACTCGCCTCCCCACACTCCCATTCAAAAGGTCGCACTTGCGGTAGAAATAACTCTTCCTTAACACACCTTCTCATTATAGACATAACAATTCGGCTCTGGCTAACCCCGCGTCGCCGCATCCATCCAATTATACTGCGCAGGAACAATTCCCGATACAACCCCATCTCTCCCCTTTCCCCGTCATCCCGCCCGCCCAAAGGCAGTTTGCAGATCGGTATCCCCTCCTGCTCCCGCTTTTTCTCCGATTAATCCTCGGCCTTCCAGGTGTTCGCAAGAAACCGGTCTTTAGGGATAGTTGAATCACTCCTGTGTACGACCATCGTACCTACCTTGCCACGGAACAAGCATACCCTGCACCTACGACACCATCGGCACTCCCACCAGCACACGTAGTCGTTCTAAACTCAGCAGGATCCTTACGGCAAACCTATTCGTCAGCACTGTGGCGCTTCGAGCGACTTTTGCATGAAGAAGCCGATTCCCACAGCAGGGCCAGTTCACACCATGTTCGGAAACGCAGCAAAACCACAACCACCCCGAAGGGGTTCGAAACCCGCGAACCCCTTACTGAGAAGTAAGGACCGCCACCCATCCCTGCGCTACCCTGAACGCTCACCTGCTGGCCCCCCACCCGTTCTCGACCTCGATAACTACCTCATAATGTGCCGCCCACCGCACCTGAAACATCAACGAGGGCAACAAAAACTCCCTCCTAAGTCTTTCAGCAGAAGAGCGTATGCAGTTCAGCGTTCTCGTTGCTACCAGATTATTCGCCACCTCATTTCATTTGGCCGGGTTGGCCTGATGACCCTCCTGGTAAGAACATACGGAAATTACCGCACGGGCTCAAAATTTCCATAAACATCCCCACCGCAGTTATCTCGTGAATCAAAATTCTGTTCGATTAAGTAGAGTATTCTATACGAAAGAAAATCTTCAACTTTCCAATAATAATGCGCTCAGATTTTTGAATGCTCATCAACGAAGAACGCTACACCTCTAAAAGAAGGAAAAATCGCATGTAACTTTTAAGTTTCTCTCGTTGAAGACCTTTTCTTAAGTAAGGCACTTTTGGAGGTAATGAAAACCAGGAATCTATTCTTTCAGAATGTGCTTCCTTTTTCCATTTTACATGAAAGTCACTGCTCCTCAAACATGGGGACCCCTGGCACCACTAAGCAGTCCTGAAAAGGTTGAAGGAGACGCGGGCATGAGCAGAATTGGACTCGGAATTTGTACTGTGGAATCGCGCGGTGGCTAATTGCCGTTACTTCCTCTCGTACATCTGAAACCACCTTTTTTGAGAAAAACTGGATGTACGCCTGGAAAGAGGTTGCCGTTGACGCAAAGGATCGTACTAGTCGTGAAACTATTTCTTAGACCGCTTTTCTCTTAGCACGTGCCCATTTTGGAAAATAGGAGAAAGAATATGTGGAGCTGTGAGCGCGACGCAGAACCAGCTTATGATATAATTCATAATAGAAGTACTTGTAACCACTCCATTATGATGTAGAAAGCATTCATCCAATATAAATTATTTATCAGTGATGGCAATTTTAGCCGACGCTGCAATACACTGTCTACGTACATACAAGGAATATAACATTAAACTCACATAGCCAATCACCAGGTCACGCGCAAGTATTGCGTTGTAATAGCTCCCTAAAAACTGACAAGGTCCGAGAAGATTATGGGATATCGACATTCCAATATTCTTCTAAACATACCGAATCTATTGACTTATAAGAGAACTGACTCTTTGAATACAATCACAGACAGAGAGCGATCTATGTGCACATTTGGTAAATATGTACAGACTATAAATAACTCTAAAAGCTAATAAATTGGCTTACAATGGCGGATGAGTTAACCAAGAGCCTTATTATTAAACAAAAATTGGTGTGCTAAGCAGTGATGAGATCACAACTTGTAAAATAGGATGGGGAGAGATGAAATATTTACGAAGGTGAACAACGGGTGAACGGTAAGGGTCGCTGCTCTCAAAGGTTACGAAAGGCAAACGGAACCAGACCAGAGCGGATTGACACGATTCAGCTAGCAGGAATAATAGCCAAGAATTAACCGATAAAGGATAACATGTGATAAGAAGTACTCTGCATCATGTAAGAGGTAGAAACCTACTTGATCACGGGAATAAAGCTAAGAGAACAGCCACAAGGCTTGTTGGCTAGAAAACAAGAAGCTCTGCATAAGATCATATTCGTGCTTGTTTCAGTGGATGTGTTAGCAATATAGGACACACCTCAAACAGACAGAACATCCATTCAGCTAGACAGGTGTGTTCGAGGGGACAACGGAACGTTTCCGTCGCCTGTCCAAAGTACTTCGCAGTTCTTCTTTCTCTCGTCGCAAAACCTCCCGCACCATGCCACGAACCACGCCAGATACAATCAATTGTTCTGATTCCTCCGTCACTTCTTCGGCAATATTTACCATTCTGGATGGTGTTGTGCAGGTTTTAGTTGGAGTCAATTCTTCTAGAAAACCACCTTGGGAAGAAATGAGCTCTCCGGCTGGAAAAGAAGTGGTCTGTAAGAGAAGCGAACGCTTCCGCTCGATGCGCGACGTCTCTTCATAAACCACGTAGTTGACAAGATCACCAATCACTATACGTACATCCCTCATCAGTTCTTCAGGATTCAGGATAGTTTGGGAATTTTGAGAAGAGCTTTCATCCGTATTCCCATTTGTACTGTCTATACTGGAACGCGATGTTCCATCAGATGATTTTGCTGACTCTGCTGCAGAGTCCCGAGTCCGATGCTCATCATCGAAAGCAGAGTTTGACCGGCTTGTAGAAGTGGCACTTTCTTCGGCGAAAATCTTACCATCGCGCTCCTTCTCTGAATAGGTTGACCACGAATCCACCGAATCAGGAAGAGCCGGACGCATTATTGGTAATGAGAGTGGGCCTTCACTGAGCTCACCAGTTCCTGAGATACCTATGGTCAAGGTCTTCGGACGAGGAAGTTCTTGATTATTAGCACTCTGAAGAAAACATTATGAGAAATATAGAAACGTTGCGACAAGTGTTTTCAAATGCGAAACGGTGCAGGTTAGGAGATACCAATCGCGATTGCTGTCGTGCGCAGAAGTGCACTCAAGATCTCGACGACGCCTGATGACTCGTTACGTCACCGCGCACGGTGCGACTTAATTTCGGCGCACTGATATCTCCAGACCCATACCGAGCGAATTTTACTATTGGAATAATGAACGGAAGCGAAGCATTTAAAGAAGATCAGACTTACAGATGTTTGCGGAGCTTTTGATACATCGAATGTCGACGAAGATGGAGAAACAGAAAAGCGACGGAGCTTCCGCACAACTGGCTTCGCAGCCATGTTGGCTTGCGGAATTGCAGGTAACGATCCCCATTCAGCTGAAAGTCAGATACTTCATTTAGCACAGCATCTCCCAAATGAAATCGACAGCTGGACGAGGGAGTGAGACTCAATTAGAACCTGTAGCCCACTAATGAAAAAAAGCCATCTAGATAGATGCTCCTTCTTTGAAGGGAGCGATCGCGCTGCCTAGAGGTGAATTCCACATTGGTTTCCACAAGTTATTAACGAAAACGTTGAGTAGCAGAGTCAGAGATTGACCATTGTTAGGATGCCGGCACGTCAACAAGCCGCTCAATATCAATTCCATGACGGAGATGTACATCGAACGAGAAATATAACCTTCATACGTCAACCTGCAGCCCCTGCTACTCTTTCCAGTTCGAAACGATGGGCGGGCAAGAGCTCTGAATTGAATTGCTCGTTACAAGGCCTTATCATGCCGCTGAAAAAGTGCTACCGGCCCACAGACCATCAATTGTCTCATTGTTAAGGTCTCCTGCCTAATCCACTATGCATCTTTCCAGTTGTTTCAACGGGATTCACCATGACTGCTTCTTGATAAACTTTTGAACAATGTACGAACATAGGGAATAGGAACACTGGCCACTGGAATAAGGAAACAAATATCGGACTCGCACGAGCCGCAGTCCGCTCAAGTCGCAACGCAAGGCAGAGGATCGAAACTGTGGATGATCAGCCGACCGATGCGAAGGTGCTGGCACAGCATCCCATCAACTTGGTTTGGATTATGTGGCGGCGCAAGGAACGACTGCGGCATTCATAGCTCACGATTCTAGTGATTACGCGATTTGGCAATTCCGCTGCAACGAATGCATAACTATGGATCACAAAGGTGGCCGACCCACACCATCATGAACGCTCATTAACCCTTTGACGACCGTATGGCCCGCCGGCGGGCCACACCAAATCGGCCGCGTGGGACCGTATGGCCCGCCGGCGAGTCATGGCAACTAATTTCTTGTATTTCCTTCTTTTTGAAATTTTTGGGATTTTCAATCACTAAATATGTACACAACCTCCCAGCGAGGCTATGTACACAGTGGTCCATGGATTGATTCCTTCTAAGGAGATGAGCTAAGAAAAATAGTAACAGAAACCACTTTTAATGCTAATATTAGCAAATATGATCATTCCAACAGAATAGGAACACAGCTCAGGTGTTGATTTTTGGAAACCCCAAGCAGTAATCCTTGTGCCAACTGCTGCCACAATAATGACATTCCTTGCATGTTCAGTCGACAGGACCCGGGCTCTACCACAACTGTTTGGCTTTGCGAAAAATATTATCAAGAAAGTGTAATACAAACAAACATGTAAGTAAAAGTGAGAGCTCGGCAGGTGCAGCAGACGGCTGTCAAAAACCCTAACTATATCTAAGGCTCCCATAATTGGAATTCAGCGTACGTTAGTAAGCGTCTCGTGAATAATGTTACTTATTATCGACTACACACTAGCTAAAGAAGAAGCTTAAAAGAAGCATTTATAATGAAATGTCGTCAATTTTTTGAATACAAGTGCTGTTTAAGAAGTGAAGTCAAGTTAAGTTGTTTTCAGTAGATGCTACTTCAGCAGTACTATCGAAACACTTATGAATTCCTAGGCAGAGTCAACCCTGCGTTGCGCAGTTCTCAACGGCCACGTTGCGCAGTTCCAGCCGATTAGACACGTTCTCTCGCGCGAACATTCACACTCGCATACTCGAGCCGTCTGTGTCTCCGCCCATACAGCGTGCGTTGAGGATCTCTCAACGTGCCGTTGCGAACTGCGCAACGCAGGGTTGACTCTGTTCCGAGGTCTTTCATTAGTGTTCTTGATTACTTTGCTGATATTCCATCTGCGATAGAATATATGGCTGATTATTAAGATAATTCATTGAAGGAAGTGTGCAGTTTGGTCAATGTTGCTATAATTAAGCAAAAATGCGGTCTCCTGGGACCGCTTAGAGCGCGCGGTCGTCAAAGGGTTAGGAGAACCACTCAAATCGATGCGCATCTAGTATTTCAATCCAATCGCCTTATCGCATAGTTTTTGATCGATGCTTATGCTTCCTTTTCAGCGTAATCGCCTCATCGCAGAAGTGGCGAGTTATGAACGGCTCGAGAGCGGCAACTGCGAACCATGTGGACTGTGAGTCTGTCGCATTCTGACGTTCACCTGAGCAAGTTCTTGTCTAATGAGCATTTCCAGTATTGCATTTCTAGCCCCTAGCGCCCCTGCCACGAACGATACAACCTGTGCAACTGCGAATCTATTCACCTTAGTTAGAGAATTCTCTAGCTCAACTAATTGTGAAATGTACCTTTAGTGCTGTCGAGCACATTAACACTACACGAGTGTGATGGAACAGGAAGCATCGTAACATATCTGTACTAATCGATACCTACCTAATCCAAGCGAATTATGAGAAGAGGATGAACATTTCTTGATCGTTTTTGTGGAATCTACATTAGTCTCATCCAAAGAATGCGTTGAGCCTCCAAGTACTCGTAGACGTTCCTTCAAATCTGTTTTTTTTTATTTCTTAACAAAACTGAACCTTAAACTCATGGAAATGGGATTTTTGAAAGTCTCACGTGGATATCAGCCACGGTTTCCGTGCACGTCAAAGACGAACTGCGCATGAATTTTCCCTTCACCCCTGTAGAGGCTGCTCCACTTGAAGACATGGGCAAAAGCTGACAGTGCGACGGCGAGAGATCGGCTTCAGTAATTATAATATCAGCTGAAAACATATCAAAATTAGTACTGGCTGTTGCAGTTGAAGATGTCTCAAGAATAATGAAAAATATTAGGCTGTTCGATAAGTAATTTCGCTCTTCTTTCACATACAAGTTTTTTTTTCGAATAGAAGTCTTTTCTCTAAGTTCCTTATTTTTTCTATAATGTTATGTAGATAAGAAAGAGACTTAGCCGCTCTACAAAATACATTAAAACTTTGACACTCATTGTGAGTTGAATGATTACGGGCCTGCAAATAGGAATCTCCAGTAGAGAAAAGCTATCCGAACGGCAACTAACTCAAACTTCAGTTGATCCGCAAGAAATCAAACAGTAATGCCGCCATTACTCAGTCAAAACCTCTTCTGAACATTAAACTATTGAACCTTCCAACAAGTTCTCTTAGTATTGTGCTATCCCGGAGCTTCATCAGGACCTAAATCGTGGAATATTCCGCGATATTTAATGGAATAGAATTCCACTCCAACGAAGTGGCTCCCGTGAGGGCAGCTTTATACTTGGCTGACGCACACACATACCTGACGGAGATGTTAACACTGAAATATCGCGGACAATTTTAAAGGAATTTTTTCAATGGAAATTTCATTTTTTCGAGTGACCGCTATACTGCGGTAGTCTTCGTGGATGGGAACCTTTTCTCAAAAACTCCATGTTTCCACAATATTTCATACATTACTCAAAGGCGCTTTTTTCTGGCCTGTTCGCATTTTCGATTTATCTTTCCTTGTGTTAATGGGGAATGGTAGGTTTACGGAATGAAGCGTGCAGCCAATAATGTTTGAATAATTTTTTTAAGTAACGTTGTCACTATGACGATATCATTCCAAACATTTTTTCCCAAAGGAATGCCGAAGAAGGAATAATCGATTAAGCGCGTACTTAGCTACCACTGATCTCATCGTTCCATCACATTTACAATGTCTCAGCGGTAAAACTCGAGTCAAATTCGCACGGTGACGGTCACGCTTCGAGTTCTTGCTGATAAGTAGATTTTGAAAAGACACATTCTGTTAGACAGTGCAGTAGTGAGTATTAAGCAGAGGCTTTGAATAATACATGGCGCATCACTGATTGATCTTTCGGGTGAGCATAGTGTTCGAGTTATTTGCAATTGGCTAACTTTCTTCTACTGGAGATTTCTGTTGCACGCTTGCAATTTATTCAGCACGTAATTAATATAAAAGAGACACAACAAATTTCGTGAAGCGGACAATTCTCTTTCGAATGTTATATACATATTGGGTTGGAAAGAAGTTATATACATATTGGGTTGGAAAGAAAGTTCCGCGACACTTTTCCAGACCTTTGATTTTGATTTTATCTTTTTTGTTTACAACTTCTGGTCAATCGACATTCTGCCATTAGTGTCCACCACTTGTTCCGAGCGCTCAGAAATCTTCTCTATGTTCCTTCTCTAAGACGTTGTGAGAGCGGTTGGAAAGAGCAAGTCACCTTGTATTTTTTGAAGTTGATGCTCTAATTAATTCGTTATAAAGATGATGACTGAGCGAGGTAGGTCTAGCCATTTGGGCTAAAATACGGTAACACGCCAGGTGAGGTAAGAAATTCACGCACAGCTGCCAAGAATTTCTTAACGGGCTCATTTCGTAACATGGTGATTCGCAATGTCATGAAGAAAATTAACATTGTCGCAGACCGTGGATTGAGAGGGCGTGCCCTCGCCCATCTGCTTGATGATTCTCTATGTAGATAGGCGTTTGAAAGATCCTAATCGGAAGTGATCAAGAAGGAAGCTCAAAAATAGCTTCCAGAAAAATTGAAGTATCAGCCACAGAAGGCAACATTAAATGGGCTGAGCAATTGCTCAGGTAGGATAGTGCGGGTGCTACTTCGCAAAACATGTTTCACGAATTCATCATTTTTCTTGGATTTTTTATAGCGATAAATATAAAGTGATTCACTAATTATGGGACAACCTGATCGCATACATTTTCACAGGGTAACCTTATATTATAAAACGGTGCAAAAACCAAAAAAAAATTACAAAAAAGGTAAAAGAAGAGCTGTTCCCGCCAAAATTGCGATACAAGGGTTCTTCATAGTGGGGAATCAACTGGTAATACAAGAAAAACTACCAGTCTGCTGCTTGTTCTGGAAATGTAAAATTTTAGGGTTACCTTATGATAATGAAACGCACTTTAGTATTGGTCGTTGACATAGATTCATAGCTATAGAGATATTTCTACTGGACAGTGACTCGGAGTACCGATTAACTGTTGTCGATGTTTTTTAGACTTCTTGGTTAACTACTGATTACAGCGCCCATATCCACTCGGCACACGGAAGCCAGAAGAATGCTTCACCATTTGTTGATCATAAATGTTACATACGAATTTTTCATAGAAAAGGAAAATTTGAAGAAGAGTGTTGCAGAACCTTCTTTCCTACCAAATAACATTGCGAAAACAGTGGGATCTTAAAGGAATAACTTGTATTCAAAAAAGACACTTTTTGTTGACCTTATAATTAGTAACCAACATCAATAAATTGATAACTCACCTGGTTTTACTTCTTGCTCTTGTTTCACCACAGTTTCCTGGCTGAGTTCTTCATTTGCCGTTGATTTTGAGACACTCACATCAACTTTCCCGCTCTCAGTCTTCTGTTGATCAGCGCCTTTGTTCCGTTCACAATACCGCTTTATGTCCTCATAGTAGCGCCGAAAATCTTCCTGATATGGCCGTACCTGTATAACTGCGCTTTCCGCTCTTCCACACACTTTCCAGAACAAGGTGACCCACGAATACACTCCATAGTAAAACTATACGACATACCGCAAAGTTTGCACTAAGATTTCGGAAGCGGAAGCTTCGTAGAAAAACCTCTATCATGTCATTCATCACCTAAATAACCTATGATGGAATCCCTCAAAGGAAAAAACCAGAGGTCATGATACCCATTCAAGAAAGGCCGCATCTCCTATACGTGCTTTGAAACATGGAAGTGTAATAATTCTCGACGCAAAAGAAAATTGAAAATTACTTGGGGCAGTGGCTTTGTTACGCTCATTTTTTGTAACACAAGTTTTCGATGACATTTAATGAAATCGAATGACCCCGGCGACCATCGATCTGCGCCGAGCTCAGAAACTTGACTTAGTTTTCAAAAAATTTTAATTTGGGTTATGTCGTCCAATTTCACGTTGAAGTGTATGTGCCCACAATGTCAACAAAGCCCACACTCTGCACTAGATCAGACCTATTGACGAATTCAATATGAGATTTGCGCTTCAACTCACTAATGTAACCTCTCCCTAGACTTAAGGGTAGCAAATGGTTCAAGAGCACTTCAGCAGGTGTAGCTATTAGCTGCGAACAATATACGTAAGAAAAATTAGAGCACCTAACAAAAACCTCAACAAACACGTCAAACGTGCAAGTAGGACACGAATTAGTAAATGAACAAACTTTGGCGTTTGAAGCAACAACACAGCTTTGGTCCAAGTTCAGCAATGAAATTGAACGGTTTATTTTCATAGCAGAGTGGAGTGCTAACAGCCCAGCAGACCCTTAAATGCACAACATCAAACTAGATCAAAGTTGTAGTTAAGTCTCAAATAAGACGCACCTATTCCAGGATTATCGCGAAGATCTACGCGAATTAATGTGGAATTGTCTGCAAGACATTCGGCCAGGAGTATTGCACCTGAACGGAACTCAATGGCTATTGAGAGTACCGCAGTAGAGCTGCATTTACTGTTATTTTCTGTTTCATGGAAGGTGTTGCATATACTCAACTTATATACTCTGAACATAACTGACAGTACATAGAAATGAATAACATGGCAGTTCAAATTATTCAGCTTAAGGCATATGTAAGATAAGTATTTCTCGAGATTTATTACAAGCATGAACTAGCGGTAAGAGTGTCATCAAGTATATGAAAGAGGTACTACCGTGAGCGCGATGCGCTTTGGTTGGGTCCACATAGAGCAGAAAGCGCCTCATAAACGAAGTCAGAATGCTAAGTGTCTGAGAAAATATAGACCAACCATGCCTCGGATGTGTTGCTTATCACAACGACATCATGTGAAGTTACTTTTTCATAAAAGGCAAGTTGCTGCAACGGCCAGAGAGGCGTAAACAGCCGTAATTATTAGGTTGTCCTTGAGCAGTGGTTGTTCTTATCAAACAAAATTTTCTACTAAAGTTCTGTTGTTTTATATCAGCTGATGTACCATTTCGGAGGAAATTGTCTGCTCTACAAGGTGGGCTTCTCTTCCACATTCGTTCCAAAGTTTTTAAATTTTATGCCTGCGAAATGGGAGGTGCAGTCGACGAAAAATTGCCAAACCGACAACCAGCCCTAACTCAGTTTTCACCTAGGAGAAATCAACCCATGATGGACCCCATACCTATTAACGACCTCTACTAAATAATCCGCTATTGGGCTTTTCGACAAGTTGCGTCGCTCCTTTACCAGATTTGGTTTTTCCACCAGAACTCGGCGGTTAAGCACAATCTCTTGAAAACTGGCCCAAAATTCCTTGCGGCCGAGACTCTGAAAAACTAGTGCAATGTTAACACGTTGACGACAGCGCAGGTTTTGGCATTCTCCACCGCATGGGACATGGGCGCTTTGGCGGGCGTGATTTGCCTGACTCGCAAGGGAGGGCATCCGACGGCTTGAATACGCACTGCTTGTCTCTACCCTCTCAGCGAAATACTAGCGATGACATCAATGCAGAATAAAGAATCCATGAGCCTGGAGAGTGTAGCCAGCTGGGGGGATGGGGAGAGAGGAGGGCCATGCGATTTGAACGACACGCGTGGAAGCCCAGAATGTGCATGTTCACACTATCTCTCCAGATGGATGACTCCAAGAAAGTGGTTGAATAACTGCTGAACGTTGAGCATGAATGCTTCCCAACCGGCAGTTGCTTCCCACGTGGCAGATATTCAGGAAAAGTAAGTAAAGATTCAAAAGGAATTAATAGCACAAAGTGCTTAACACATTATTGCAACCATTTCTATAGAGCAAAGGATCTCTCGCGGCCTCAAAAACAAAAGGGTCAATATGCGCAGCGGAAGATGTCGAATTTCTTTTGTATAGACTGCTTCAATGAAAAAAACAAGTCATAGAACCGTAATCCTTTACATTATGTATCAACTTGTTGTCTGCATTATGGACCACACCGTTTACACGCATGATGATGTCTCTTATATAATGGTGATAAAAAATTTCGGAGAAGTCGGACATGCGCGGGAAAAATAGGTACAAGACGCTGACGCGCATGCGCGTCAGAATGTCAATGCGGTGCCAAATGTCTGACGCGCTTGCGCGTCAGCCTGCTTCGTCAACGTTAAGTAACAAGTCACGGATGAGTTATGGAAAGTGTGCCTGATAGATTTTTCATCTTCTCAAGAGGAGAGTTTGTTCCATAGTAATGGTGTCATTTTCGTGGCTGAACACTTATATCACGCAGTCAACTAAATTCAACCTAATTCACAGCGTCTTCATGTGCTAATCGATCAGCCAGAGAACTCAAACTCGAGAAATAAAAATAAGGTTTTCTCATCATCTTAATTGAGGAGTGTTTAGGTTATAAGTAGGCAGAAGGTACACCAATGGTTGATTTCGCCATAGGGAAAATAGAATTAAGCTGTTGTCGGTTTGGTTAGTTTTTGTCGGCGGACCTCCAATTTCGCAGGCATAAGATTTAAAATCTTTGAAACGAATGTGAAAGAGAAACATAGCTTCTGCTACAGCAGACAATTTTTCTTTTAAATGGTACATAATTGATATAAAACAGTGAAAGCATAGCAGAAAATTTTTTGTATGAATGAAAACGACACTGCTTATGGACACCATTCGTCACTTATGATTTCACTTTTTTTATGGACTCAGCGTGTGAGATTCTGTCTTTAACTGACGATACGGAAACAAGCACTTTTCGCATCAAATTGAAGGGAATCAACATACTTTGGCAATTTAATTGCGTGCTCTGAAGACGCAATTCTGTGCAGATTACTGCCGTTTCCTCCAAGGGCAGGCCTCAACCTCTGCACGCCCATCTCACCAAGTGGATTGCTTCCAATGTTGAGCGTTTCCAAATGACAGTTTTCACACCTAGAAAACTATTTTCATGTACCTTCAAACCTGGTAAAATATAGTACAACCCAACAGTGCTCCAGCAACGCATCCATACCAGTGGCTGTAATTTTGTGTTCCACGAGGACGAGAGCGTGAGTGAAGTTTTTTCACCACTTCCGGATTACGCAACGCTTCGCAAATCTTAGCAACGCCATGTCCTCAAACATCAGAAGGTTAAAATATATAGTGAGACTAAGTCATCAAACTAGGAAAAAAGTGAGCAGAGCAGGAATGGGTAAAACTGTTTACTCCCCCCAGACTATTATATTCGCAAATCAAGCATTTGAATGGCGGTGTTATTCATGATCAATTGGTAAAGATGAGCCTCCGTCAGCACCTTGCAAATGTGTTCTCACCAAGGTACAATCCTGTACAAAATACATTATGGCCGTTTCACTTTTGAAGCTTTATGTGGTGTCGCAGCCATAAGAAGCTGATCACATTATGTAAGTGGATCGGTCGCAAAAATAAATAATAAATTTTCTCTCTTTCCATTGCGACACGTTATGCCAACAGGGAGCAAGCGCTCTCAAGAACACTAACCTTGAGCACAGTGTTGAATTTCAAGCACAAACAAAGTGTAAAGATTCTTTCCATATAAGTTCACATTTTCACAATGAAGAACACCCAGTACTGGTTGAGGTTGCCCTCGAAGTACACGACATAGAGCTGATAACGACTTCTCAGAAAGAGATGTATACCGCAGATTCAGACATATGTAGCGGAATTACTCTGTAATGGCAAATTCGAAGTGAGCAGAACGCGAGAGAATTAGAAGAACATGAATGAATCAGTGACCGTCACCTTCAGAGTCAATGTCTACATAGCACAGTTTTAAGGAACTAAATCTTGAACCAACTTTAAAAACAAACATTTTTCACGGTTTGAACACATCTGTCCATCCTCGAACCCGTAATCTGTTTATTGAAAGAAAGATTCAACTTGTGAGCGGATTCGTAAAACTCGAGCATCTCGCTCAGCGCGATGGCTGCCTGTAAAAAATTTACTTCCACTATGAGTTACGTATGTTGGAACTCGTGAAAAGCTATAGTAAGCGTACATCGTCGTCTAAGAAAGTGTACTCGAATCGAGAGAGTCAAATTGTACTCGTCGAAGAATTTCCTCAAAGAGCTTCCATCTGTGCAGCAGATATTCGTTCACCTTTCAAAGAAAATACTTCCTGTCGAGAGCAAGAAGTACGAGGTCAGCCGCTAAACCAGTAAACTTTAATTAGAGTAATATAATCATGAACTGAAAATTCGACGGAACTTACTGATTAATACTTGCTTTCTCATCATATTCTCGAGAACATAGAAAAACAAGCTTATCCATATCGACCTCGACTAGCAATTACCACTATCAGATTCAGTGTCTGACTTACCGGCACAACACACGCATTTCTACTACACTAGGTCGCTTCAGACCACCTTTACCTACAGAATGCTTTACGCCCACCATTTTATCGTGTTGCTGTTAACATGAAATGTATATACATAGGTTGCAGGAGACCTTGCAGTTTTTGACAGTTACATTTTCATTCACTCTTTACAAGAAAACCTGTGCACCTTTTCCAAATGATGCAGGTGGCCGGCGACGGCGCTAAAGAGAACATCTTAGACTGTGCTAGCTCACACGCAGTTTGCTGTGGGTCTACCTCCACCAGCTGGGGCAACCGATCATAGTCAACTTCGAGTCCACGTCCCAAACTTTCAAGGTAGGAGTCTCCATCGCGGAAGCCTTTAGACTAACCTAGTGCAGTGCATTCGGATACCTTACGTTCTCCATATACAAATCAATGTAACGCCTGGATTAGGCTTCTGATATGGCTTCCAAATATGAACCCTTATAATAAAAGGTCAAGAAAGTACTGTTGTAAAAGTTCCTTCTTGCAGAAGTGTGATAAGCAAGAGGTAACTAGTTAGCTAATAATAATACTAAACTCCCACACATATGTTCCCCTTATATATGCACAAGCTAATTTACCGGAAAGCATTAAGCAGCTAAAAATCAGAATTTTTGGAAACCGAAAGAACTTTCCCTACAACCTATTATTTGTGAGCAAATACAACAATGAATCGGCGCTGCTCTCAGCAATCTGCAAGGTAAGTCTCACTGATTTCTCAACCACTTGAAATATATTCATACTATTATCAAAATCGCGAGGTATAATGATATGCAAAATCGTAAACTTTTTCGACATAACTAAGAAATTTGGAATTGTGCTAATTTTCACAGCTTCCTAGTTCCTTGGTTTGGGGTCTAAAAGCTTCTAAATTTTGCTATAGTGCTATTTACGTGCTCACAAGTAATAGATAAAAGCAAAAAGATCTTTTTCCTGTGGAAAAATCCAGGGCTGAAGGGGTTAAAAGCGAAGTTTTGATCAGAAGGGAGCCCATTAAAATCAGGGAAGAGGTGGCCAGCCGGGACAATGAAGTAATCATGAGAACCCAGAACAAAGAAATGGAGCCCTCCCCTGCATTTCCGTGTTGATGCGACTCCCATCGATATCATCCTCTTCAACGCTAACGCTCTTTCTGTCTCTCTCTGCTAAATGGCTAGAGACCTGCGGCCAGTGTCGATGGGCATAACGCGGGTCGTGCGAGGTTGCCGGAAGCACATCCTTTCCGGAAAACTAGATGCCGGTCTGCACTCTAAGAGGGTCCGGCTATCATTCCACTATATCAGTTTCCCTTTCTACGACTTTATCATGAGTCCTCCTCTAAACTACGCCAAGCTCATTCTGCTATAACGGATAACAGGTCTATTGTTCTATAAGTCCCTTCTGACATGGACGCCCCTCACACTCTCAAATTCTCAATATATTGGATTTTTCTCGAAACTCAAACCCGTAGAATTTCCCAAACTTAGTGCACACCCAACTCTCTTGGGCCTCTACAAATACTTGAGAGTTTTTCTTCAATTATACCCTAACCAAACACTGCCCCATTGCATGAATAGACGCTTGGGAGCTATATTTATTTGCCTATTGATGAAAATCAACCCACTTCTATTTGACGTTCCACTGATGTTATCGTAGCTATTCCTAAGTTTTGGCATGCTCGGCGATAACTCGATAACATACCATCTACATCGAGTTCACCTAAAAGTAGAGAAATCATTCCAACGTAAAATTTGTTCGAGAAGTGAACAAAATAAACTATAGTTACTAACCAGGGAAGGCATTCAACTTCCCATAGAACTTTGAATAAAGACCCAGATATATCGACATCGCTTTAAGCGCTGATAACAAAGATAAGTATAAGTAAAGTTTATTACGTCAGCATAGGGCTCACGTGAGAAAGGACAACAATAACGTTGTAAATTTTCAATCAAAAACAGCAATAATGACACAATGACCTGATTTGCTATCAGTCTCGCAAAATATAGGATTTGTTCATCAAACATTTGAAAAACTAAAACTGCAAATGAACTGCAGGAAGTTGTGAGCAGTCAAGTTGACGGCTTAAATTAAAGGCTTACCTATAAAACCGTGCTGACCCGAGCGCTTTCAGAGTCATCGCGGAGTAGATGGTAGCGCCCTCGCTCTCCACCGTGGAAGTTCTTAGGATCTCGGTCTCGTTGGGGTGTGCAAATTTCGAAGGCACTGACGCACTACTCCCACGGCGCACTTCGAAAGCAGAGGCGTAGAACGATTAGAAGGCAGCGCTTTACTGTTCAGTCTACTTTCACTGCTAACGTTTCCTTGAAGCAAGAGTGCATTTTGCCAGGGTATGGTTTCTTTTGTATAGGCGTAAAGCTCTAGGTCGGTATGTTGGTTGTTTTTCTTTGGGCGGCCTCAATTTAAAGTTTGCATGCGGAAGTTGCAATGCCTCCTGGAAAATAACGGATTGACCATTTTGTAATCCTTTTCGGATTGTAACCATTGCTAGAAGATAGTGGGATTGATCTGGATCTTCTGACAAGGTTTAACAAAAGCCCTAGAGCGACTCGGACGTAATGGAACCGACAAAGCGGGTGCCTATTGGTTTTGAAAGGTTCTTATTAATGCAGAACGACGAAATTTTGAGCGGACGCTCCCTGGATGTCATTACAGTAATCCTAAATTTATGGCATGTCGGCGGATGCCTTTAACATGTTGACACAGGCTGACGCGGCATGGCGCGTTCAGAACTATGTCGTTTAACTTTTATGGGGTCTTAGCGCTGCTTCTTCTCGTAGTTGGTTTGGCATTTATTTACAGTAATTACATTAGCATAACTATGAAGGCAATGGCCAGCCGAGTGGGCATCAAATATCTTGATTGTAGCAAAGATTTTTTTGAATCAACAAAATTTTTCATTTCACTTCCGTAATAATCCTGTCACTGTCCGTGACATTCACATGGAAAAGATGCAGTTAAAGTTAATGAGAACTCTGTGAGTCCGGAGATATGTATTTTGATGCGAAGAATTCGGTATAATGCTTTTAACTTCACAAGAATGCGGGTTGGGAACAAAAGCCGGGCGAATGTCCCGCCTGGGCGGAAAGTTTTGATTCACAACCAGCATTCTTGTGAAACATCGCACGCGAACTGCGGGCTGCGTATAAAACAGCAAGTTAATCAAACAAACAGCTTTTTAATTCATTCGCAGCGGAAAGGGGGTTCTGGTTCTTCGTGGTTATTATCGCTTTCTGAACAAAAATCTACGGCCTATTTATATGATAGACCTTATGCTCTCATCGCTTGCGAAAATAGTTCTATGAGTGCACGTTTATTGTGTATTTTAACCGAAAAATAAGGCGGAGAGTAAGCGTGTGACGGCGCGCTCGCAAAATTCGCCTCCTTTGTTCCACGCGGAGCAATGCCAAACACGCGATGCTTGGTTAACGTGTTTACACTGATCCCAAATTTGTTTCATTTGCAAATCTGCTAAGCGATTCCCTGACGCTAGTAGTTCGAGCTCACACTTCAATGCCGCCGTAGAATCGATCTTTATTTCTGTGTTGGATTCACTGGGCGCATCAGTTCAACACAGTGAGGTGTCGGCTCAGCAGGCAGCGCTGTGGAACGAAGCAGGGGAGCTTCTCGATCGGGTGCTGGGTGGCCTAGTGGTTTAAGGTGGTGGTTGGAGAGCGGATTTCGCGGTCACTGGTCCAGATACGCCGCGTGATTTCCGTTTTGCAATTTGGTGGTGCTGGACTATTTGGCGGTTAGTGAAACATTGATTTCTTCATTCATTGTCAGCCGCTTCAGCCGTTTTTGGAACGACGAATGTGGATCTGTGTGTCAGGTAGTCACACTCCTACGGCCAGGTTTCTAGGAAAATTTCGAAATTTTTGAATTAATTGTCAAAAGTTGGGTGAGTTCACTTCATTGATGCTCCATGTCCATAGCCGGATAGGTTCCAGGGTTTGAACTATTTTGGAGCGACCTTTAAATTTGAAATAATTAAAAGTGCGTTGTAAAATCATCTTAACAGAATAACCCGTACTGGTTACACTCTTTCAGAACCTCAAAAAAAAAAATTAGTTGACTGAAATGAAACTCTTCCAAAAGGCTTTATTTGACGACGTTTCGGGCCGTAGGCCCTTCTTCAGGTCTACAACATCTTCCATACATTACGTTCTAACATAAAAGAGTGAAGTAATACAACATGATATACGAAGCTGACTAACCAATTACAAAAAAAGGGAAATTCCGTGTTTAGGGGAGCGGATTGATTCCTCTGAGTTCGTGAATCGCTGCAAGAACGTTGGGATAAAGATGTGGAGGAAAACGTGGATGGGGGACCAACCTCTCCTGCTACTCACTCGAAAAAAAGATTTTTGAATAGAGTGATCCGGTGGAAAGGAAAAGAAAAAAGGCGCTTGAAATAAGAAGGAGGAACCCTCCAATCTACAATAGGGAAGAACTCCAAAATACCATGGAAGTCATCGCTGTGCAATGACTGTTGAGATGGAGCTACGTGGCGGATGGTAAATGAAGAGTATCGACTGCTTAATTCTTTACCATGATCACCCTCTATCTGGCTCCACATCTTCATTCTTGCAGCGATTCACGAACTCAGCGGAATGAATCCGCTCCCCTCAACCTGGAATTTCCCTTTTTTGTAATTGGTTAGTCAGCTTCGTATATCATGTTGTATTACTTCACTCTTTTATGTTAGAACATAATGCATGGAAGATGTTATAGACCTGAGGAAGGGCTTACGGCCCGAAACGTCGTCAAATAAAGCCTTTTGGAAGAATTTCATTTCAATCAACAACAAAGAAGTCTCGTGAAACAATGAAGCTCAGGAACCCTGTGATCTTAAAAAAAATTATATCGTTTCAAGGCTATACAGGCTTCGATGGTAGGCTGATGGATGAATGGATAGATACCCAGCTTATTTCGAAATTTGGTCGAAATCTCAAATGTGGCTATAAACTTGTCCCTAGGGGTACTTCAATCTCCGGAACACGAATATCACACTTGTTTGCTGCAAAAACGTCTGCCTAGAGTTCCGTGGGCTCCATGTGCAGTCTTTAGTAAGTACCGCTGAAACTGATGAGAAACTTCTCGCAGTCTTTGCACGGGTAACTACAGGCAAGCATTAATCGAATAAGGTAGTTAGGAGCCTTTTTCAATCATTTTGCAGCGAAGGCAACAAAGAGAACCCGCCAGGGAATCGATCTTACGACGTCTCGCACGTGAACTCGGACTACTACCGCTGCAGTACTTTCCTTCATAACTTCATTCGGAAAATCGTTTGGCAGGTTTCGAAAGCAGATTCGAGATCAGCGTCCAAAAACGCATCCACCGGTGTAGGTCTCTTTACATAGGGCCACTTCGACCAACCATCCGTTCCTGGTTAGCGGAAATTACCCTGAAGCCGTGCTCATGGACATGTTGAGCGAATCGAACTGTTCGCACTCAAGACGCTGGCTAGTTGCGCTTATTTAACAGTCGGTAGGGTAGAAGTATGATGGGTCTCATGATGTAATCCTGTCACCCATAACATAAAAGCAGCATGGGAGAGGACAGAGGATAGCATACGGCCCCAGTTGCCTCATAATAGACTTCGGATTCTCTTGACTTCAATGGGAGACTATTCACCATTGGTGATAGGTGACCAAACTATAATATTGGCGCAGTCACAATGATTGTGCTCCAGAACCAGGTGACAACAGTAGCCTACCGGTGTGCAAACAAAATACGACCTAATCAATTTTGTGTCTCAGGACGCTTGCATTAACCTGTCCAATCCAGAAATTGGCTCAAAATTTTTGCGGCTCAAAAACGCGAGAAGAATATATAACATGCCAGGATAACCGATGCTACATCTATTTCTATTATATCTGCACTAGAGACCACTCATGGAAGGATATAAGGCTAATATGAATACCATAACTTTTAAAATGCGTGGAATTAGTGTAGAAAACAAAACTTTAACTAAAACCCACCGCTACCACCTTCACTTTTAGCATCCATAGAAGAAAACTTCGGAGCTGAGGCTTCAAAATAGCCAGAAATAAGATGCTCATCATCGAAATGGACTTTTCGTTCATGAGAGCACTTCCTAATTTGCTCAACTTCATCTGCAAAAAATCTTTACATTCGTCGAAATAATTTCAAGATGCCTCATCAATGAATATGTCACACATTGCTGCAGCGAGCAGAAAGCATTCAAATGATAATAAAATTCTGACATGGCAATACGCCGGTGTCATTTGCGAATCTGTGGATGCGCTAGCGAATTGCGGGATGCGAGCGATGCACCAGCGGTTCCAACTTTGCACCAGCGATTCAAAGGATGTACCAGCATTCGACAGTGTTTAAGTGGCGGAAATTTCCTCTCGTTCACACGTTGACCCTCACCACTTTCCCGGACTCAAGTGGACATGAGAGCGAGAAAAGCGAATGGAGCCCGGGTATATGCGAGAATCAACGTGCGAAAGAGTGTGACCTCCGCCACTTGCAACACTGTCCACTCGCTGGTACATCGTTCGCCGCTGGTGCATCGCACGCATCTCGCAAGGTCATCCACGGATTTGCAATCTGAAAGCAGCCATAGGATATTACGATACTTATGGAGTAGGATATGCTTACAAGAATGATTGGAATCGCTGGAGAGTAGCAGATTATGGGTCTTCAGGCAAATTTATCATACCTATCAAATTTTGTCATCGCCTATACTCATCTACCACTATCCTAAACTCAACTATTCTACTGTCCTACTAACGTATTATCGTAATCTACTATTCTCCTGCGACTTCAGTCGATGCTTATCTAATCTCTTCAGGGACTATTCATGTTTACTACTATCCTTATCTCCCTGTCAACACAAATCCTTTCCACTGTCACGTACCTATCCTAGCCTAATCTCTGGTATAGCTAACTATGAACGGGTTACCGAGTCATTGTACCCAAATACTGGTAAATAAATTGCCGTCAAATACTCGCTTTGAGAGAAAAAAATCATCCCCTAACTAAGAAAAAAAAACCTGATGTTGTAAATGTGTGGTTGCATTCTCCAGCACTTTTACGGCGATGTGTCGCAAGTCCAGGATCTGCATTTGCAGATGAAAATAAACCATTACTCGAAGGAATGTGAGACGACGTGTGACTAGTAGTGGCTACCGTAGCATCGTATAAGCCAAGCAGATCCTGTAACAAGTAAACCATTCCGGAACAGCGACAGTTTTCGATACTTGTAAAGTCTTTTGAAGGAGGCCTCGGTGTGGAAATTACAACAAACATGAGGAATTCGCAATAAGAATGAAGGTCAAAGAAGGGGAGAACTGCATTGCTGGGAGACGGGCGGACCTACTGAGGGTGCTGACGGACGCGCAATAGACAGCGAAAGATTTCACCTCGGCGATTTAGCATGGTTCACCCTTGGCGCGGTTGGCGAGGTATGCCCACCGACAATCCAATCACTCGCCGCAGGTCCAGACGTGGGGAGTGATTAGATAGCAGTGTAGTGTTGAAGAGGGCACAGCGATGAGGGTCGCATCAATGCACAAATCAACGGGCAAGGAAGGGGTCCCATTTCTCGGTCTTCAGGCCGTTTCAAATGGTTTCTTCTTCATCCCTGCTCCACAGGCAACCTCTACCCTTATTTTCAATGAGCTAACTTTTCATCGTATTCTGCCTTTAAACAGGACCTATTCGCAGAATGAACATATCCTACAAGGGAAAAACGGTAGGTCGGAGTGGCCTATTTACAGGGGTGGCTTAAAAAAAGATGCTTCATTTCACCTTCGAAACGGCACTAATCACACTTTTCTCAATTCAAACCGAGTGCTCCCAACTGGGGATTGAAGAGCGCATTCTATCCTGTCATCAGACGTCACGGGTGTGGGTACTTAGGACAGAACGCGACTTTTTCGCTCATCGCAACGCGACGTCGCGCGGCAGGCTAGCGCTCCCGCAGCGAAAAAACTACGGTATAGAAGAACGCGCGATTGGAGCAGCTTTTTTTGCATGCGTGAATTTGTAAGTTTCTGATTCCTTGCTTGCCCGCGCTCACACTCATTGTATTGATAAATGCGGTGAATGACTAATTCTGTCTCATTATTGAAAACGTTTTGTGACTTACACGATTCCGGGCGATGCCACACAAATGGTGTTTTACGAATTATGGGTACCCCCCAAGAGGCCTATCGCGCGGCAAGAAGGCAGAGCCGGCAGACGAGTTGCGGCGCGTGATGTGCGATGAAGGACGTGCGGTGGGACATCCTACTCAACTTCACGCTATTCCTCTAATACGCACGCGACTCGTCCACTAACTCGGCCTTCTTGCCGCGCGACGGGCCTCCGGGGGGTACCCACGAATTATCGGTGAACGAGGGTTTAATAATGTCGCTTGTGCTTGCATTTTGTGGGTTCATATTGTTGTGTAGACTTCTGCATAAGGGTATGACATCTTTTACGATACGCTTCTGTCCTCATCACGGATATGATATTCATTTTTGACGCTGGCGCCATTTGGGGCCGGGTGGCGCCACAACTGATTCCCACTAAATTTGCTGTAAACTTCTGTATAGGCGTTATTCGGGGTCCTGATTTGTTGTTGGCGCTATTCGGCGCCTGCTTCTTGCTCGTCTGCGCCCTCGCACTAATTAGATCGCAATAGGACTAAGCCTTTGAGTAGTGTAGGGCTCCAAAGTAGGTAGCCCGTTCCCCTGTGGTCTGACACACTCCAACTTTTGCCACACGGTGCGTGGTTTACCCACTCCGGAGTTTCACTCCTCTCCCCTAAGCTTAGTCGTAGGCGCTGTAGGTGAGAAAGCATAGAAAAGCAGAAAGTATGCGTTAAACAGCACGAATGAGAAAAATGAGTGCCATACTCATGATCAGGGCCCCAAATAACCGCTATGCAGAAATTCACAGTCGTCTCATCAAAAGTCCATCAACCATTCCTCTTCGAGGTTCTCCAGAAGCTCTACCATCCATCTCTGCAAAAATAACCTATCTCCCTCTTCACTGCTAGTTAGCGACCCACTTCTGGTTACCATTTCCTCGTTCATTGTCAAATCCATGGCTATTAAGCTTCAAACTCCTTGTCGCAATCAAAGCCGACACAAATATCGTGCTCCAATCGCGCGCCCTCCTACACCGTAGTTGTTTTCGCTGCGGGTGCACCAGCCTGCCACGCGATGTCGCATTGCGAAGAGCGAAAAAGTCGCGCTCTGTCCTAAGTACCCACACCCAGACGTCACAGTACCCTTTTAAACTCAGACATCTGAGGAATTTGCCATGGGAACGTAGTGCGCATTTCGAGATCAACGTGGTTCTCAGCAGATCTCGGACCATTCCAACGTTATTAGGAAGCTGTTCGAAAGGATCTCGCATATTCAAAGCTACTGCCTCTAGGAAAATATCCATAGCTAACCGATAGAAGTAATCGTGTGCGTGCTTCAGGCTGGAGCGATTACGGAAGACTTCTCTGAACTTGGCGGCGATTGCAGATGACGCCATATTGTGAAGACGATAAGGGCAGTGAGCAGTGGATTGCTTCTGCATATGGAGGGACATTCCAAGAATTGCTATTTTGCCTGAACACTTCTATCGACCACGGCAGACTGTGCTAATTAAAGCTTGCTGACATGAGTCATGAGCAAGTGTTTCTTTTTTGGCCACCTCTGTAGATGAGATGTAGACCACCTGAAGCCCCGTCGAACGCTGAGTTGAAGTGCTCCCTATGTGCTAAACAATTCTCTGGATAGGCCAACCGAGTTAGGGAGCAAGGAGCAGACAGAATCTCAGCACGAGTACAGGACTATGCTACCCGGATTGGTGGCTAGAGGTTACTACGCTAGTTTCGCACCTGCCGGGTCGAGGGTTCGGATCCTCGAGAGTGGGAATTTCTTGTACTTTCCCAGAAGACTGCTCCATACGTTTGAAAACCACTTGCACGGTCGGAAACCTAATCTTGCCGGAAATTGCTGTTTGCGTAGAAATGGAACCGCTTCAGACAAATCAGTAATGGATACTTCTGGACGCTTGTTTCTTCAACACACCAAACAAGTCAAACCACTAATTTTGATGAAAATCTGTGAATAGGGACAGAATGCAGTGGTTACACAAGAATCATAACAACTTCGTTGAAATTCACATTCGGAAACTTTGAGGCAACCACTCTATTTGCGAGTTGCTCTGAGATTTTGTGAACATGTGCTTGTAAAGCAAGCAACAAGCATTTGACGTCAAAAGAATGCGATGTTTGTGTTCAACAGTTCAACTAACTTGAAAATACATCTCTGGCCAAATTGTCATATCTACAGGATGCCAAAAAGCGCTTCAGCCCTGAATATGACGGATTTGTTTAAAGCGGATTTTACGATGAAAAGGCAGGCTAGTGGAAATAAGGATAGAAGTGATCAATGGGAGAGGGAAATTAGAAAGAAAAAATCATTTCAGTAAAAATTCTCGAGTATGACCGAATTCCAAGCAAATTTCAATTTATTCTTAAAGTTTACAATTCAACAAAACAATCGGAAGCATGATAGGAAACGTTGAGCAGATCCAGTACTTCTGAAAACCTTGGAGTCGTTAAAACCTCGACAAGTTCCAGGTGTCACTGAACCAATCAATGATTACACTGTCTATTGGGACAACCTCACAATTCTTCCTCAAATTTGATAACTTTCTCAACCATATTCTTGGCACTTTTTTCTGCCGAAGGTTTCCCGACCTTCTTCCATAGTGTTTCTATGACGCTCAGGCATGTGTCTGAATTGGTCCCTTTGTTAACAGAAGCCGTGCTAGCGAAACCACTCCTTCAAAGTAGAGGTGCAATGCCTTTGGTCGCTTCTTTGCTAGAAGACGAAGACATTAGCGTGCAATTGCCAAACGTATGAATACAGAACACCTTCTACATCCTCGGTCTGCCTTCAACAGTTCGCGAATCCTCTGCAGCGGTACACGTTCGTCTACGGTCAACAATAACCGAGTCTCCGCCTAGTCACAAAGATGGCAGCTGATACTATAACTGGAAACGTCCCTCATGAGAACCCCACACGTGCCGAGCGCTGTGAGAACCTCCAATTTAGGTGTTCTTAAACCCGTTCCATCTTCTGGAACTTCACAGTCAAACAACATCACAGGATTCTTGAGCCGGTGAAAGCAGATGGATGCGGTCAGCTCCTAGAAAGTGTGGTGCTTCCACACGTATAGCAACTATACGCTAATGTTATCGTCATCTAGCAATGGAGCGATCAAAAGTTCGTGCCACCACTGTGAAGATGTGGTTTCGCTAGCATGGCGTGCTTCTAAAGGAGGAACCAATTCAGCCGCATGTTCTGAGCGTCATCGAAACACTGTGAAAAAAGGTAGGGAAACATTTAGCAGGAAACGCAGCCAGGAGTATGGAAGAAAAACTTGTCAAATTTGGAAGAAAATTTTTATTATCATTATTGTTGTTATTATTATTTATTACCGGTTATAAACACAACAAAACACAAAACATTACATTACATAGCAAATTCCGATGGGAAAAAGACCAAAAGGAAAAAATTTGAGTAGGTTGTTATAACAGCCAGAGCAATCATTGATTGGTTCCACAATTAGACCTTGTCGAAGTTTCAACAACTATGAAAACCTGTCAAAAAAAGTAGTGAATCTGCTTAACATTCCCTATCACGCGGTCGATTGTTTTGCTGAATTGTAAGCATTTCGCAATAAATTAAAATTTGTTTGGAACTCGGTCACACTCGAGAATTTCTACTGGAATGATTTTTTTCTTTCTAACTTCTCTCTCCCATTCAACAGTAGTACACTTGCTTAATGGAGAAGGCTTGCTTCTAAAAAGCATCAAAAGAAATTAACTGATTTGATTCAGCAGAATAAAAGTCACAGATGGAAAAGAATTCAACCGAAGACTTTTGAGCGCTACTATATGTATATGAAAGTATTCAACCAGTCCCTAAGGACATGAACACCTTCGCCATGACTTGCGAAGGTGGCCGATTCACCTTCGCACTTGCAATTTTAGTGAAGGAGATGTAAAAGAAGGGTTGCTTTCCGAAATGATGTTGTGCTGGATTTTCGCTTCCACGACCTGCATAACACACTCCAGATGAGGGAAGGTCACCAGGCCGGTCCGGCCATTCGCAACGAGGTATACATCACTGCATTCGCTTGAGACAATAAGCTACAAGGTGCTTTCCGCATCTGCTGAA